AGCCGCGGGCGAATAGGGGTTGAGAAGTGTCTCACGTACAGTATGAGATGAGTCCGTTTCCAGACCACTGGCTCATGAAACCCATGCACACAACGAGGAACATCCTATACCGGTTTCCGGGCGTGCTAACCATCGATTTCCAGGTTGTTGCGCCGGTGACTAATAAAGATAAGTCAGTGCTTGTTGCTGAGGTTGCACGGGACCGGATTTCAGAAAGGAAGGGTTTGTTACCTTTCTCCATATGAATGGCTGTTCCGATCTCCTCATATTCAAGCTTGACCAACTCGGTTTCCTCGCCATCACCGTGATACCTCTTAAGTGCCTCGAGGGCCTCGTTGTGGCGGTCTTTGGAGATGAGCCATCTGGGAGACTCGGGAAGGAACCAGACGGCGCACAGTTGGGCAATGCTGGGAATCATCTGGAAGAGGGAGGGAAGACGCCAGGACCAGTCGCTATTGATGTTTCGGGTCCCAAAGGTGATCCAGGCCGCAGCGATACTTCCAAGACCCCAGCTGGAAGGTGTTAGAGGTGCCTAAGAACATGCTATTTGGACGCCTGGCTTGACGGCACGGGAAACGGAGCAGACTTACCAAGTATTACAAATAGCCGTGATGGTAACCCGGTCCTTGGGATGGGAAAGCTCCGTGACCAGGCTGGGAGCCGCCGTGGTGGCGAACGAAAGGCCAAAACCGAGGATGAACCTGCTCACAATGAACATGGCCAGGTTGACACTTCCGCACTGCAGAATTGCACCAGCTATCATGATTAAACTGCCCACAGTGATGCCCCATCGACGGCCGTAGTGGTCAGCCACCCAGGGGGCGAAAGGTGTTGAGAAGATGCTGCCGAGTGACATGGCGGCGCTCATGATGCCCAGTTCGGCGCCGCGAGGGTTATTGAAGAAGTTGTCCCATTGATCCACCGTCTGTAACGTGCCCAAAAGGCTGCCGTCGTATCCAGACGTTGCGTACGAGCATACAGCGCCAGGGAAGAGGAGGATATAGAGGCGACGGCGGGCGGCGGAGCGGTACCAAGGGGGAGCATCTTGGGCAAGACGGTTGACGCCCTCGGGCTCGTACGTCTTCCGGCCAGCCTCGACTGATCTACGCCCACGTTCTTTGCGAGCTCGTCGAGCTTTCTGGTCCTGACGAGGTGCGGGGAGACGTTGACGGATGGTGTCGAGGATGACAACCATGATGCTTTTGTAAACCTCAACGGGATGTGGGGCGGTTACCGAAGGGCTAGGCGGGATGGAAAGAGCAAAGTAAAGGAAGGAATGGGAGAAGATGAGAGAGAAAGATGAAGGATAGGAAGGTCGGATGTGGAAGAGTGATGCTGAGGACAATATCAGGACGTGCGCCGGCAGGCCGAGGTTCTTATACTCCCATCATGGCTCAATTTCCCAAGGCCAACAACGGCACAATGCGGCGAGGCCAGGCAAAGAGAGCAAGGCCTTGATCCAAGGTCACAAGTTGGTCGCAGGGTGATACCCCGGAGGAGTGGCACACAACCCCGTGGGGTGAGTCTGGAGAAAGGGGGTTTCTCCAAGTTGGTCCCAAACGTTTAAGCCCTAAGCCTGCTCTTTCTCTTGGCGCTCGGGGGAGCTAAAATATTCCCCCTAGCGCCATGCATCACCCCTGTGGGAGGGGCGAATGGGACGACGAAAGTCATTTTTATCATCAAGGTCGCGCTCTTGGTCCCATCTCGCGGATGCCATCCGATATAGAATAGTTACGTCAATACGTCAACAGGGCCAACAGCCGTCATTTCATACCTCGAAGGACATTGGACCAGCTATTTAGCCGCTAGACGTTGGGCAACACTACTCGGTACTGTTGTCTGAGTCTTGTGGAGAGCATTCGGGGGAGCTAAAATGCTCCCCCGAAAACCCATGCACTTATGACCGACCCCATCATTCCCCCCCACCTTGACCACCTGTACCCTTGGAGAACAAGTCGTGGTGGGCATGATTCGGATTTAACCAACACGGACATGTCGCGGCTTCCTAAGAACGTCCGCTCTAGATCGAACAAAAGAGAAAGCCAGAGCAATGCTCGCTTGCTTTACTTTAAATAGCCTCCGTAACTGCGGCTGTCTTCCTCCCCTCTAGCACTGCCTGCAAGTTGCGCTTCACACCCCCTTTTATGCACTCTGCTTCTGAGCTACCCGGTATTCTCTCCTCTCTCACGTCGTCTGTTCATCTCTCGGGGCGTAGAAACACTCCTCGAGGCCTCAACATCCGAGAACGACGACGGCGGCGGTGGTTTCAGCGGCGAACGGATCCTCAACCCGCAATTGAGTGTCCGGGGCGGCGAGCATCATGGTCAAGCACGGGGTCGTCGATGTTGACATCGACGTTGACAGACTCCTTGCCCAGCTCACTCTAGAAGAGAAGATTGCCCTCCTCTGCGGCCAAGGCTCTTTCAAGACCACCAGTCTTCCGGCCCATGGAATTCCAAGCATCACCGTGAGTCTCGGGTGGAAAGCGTCGACGTCAAGGACAAGCTGCTGACGCCATCTACCCCCAAATACCAGACCTCAGATGGACCCCACGGTCTGCGTGGCGCGAGGCAATTTGCACGCGTAAGTATTACACCTACCCACATGAGAGCCCTCTCCCTCCTACTCGGGATCCCGTCTCGTCAACCCCGGTGAGTCTGGCGACTGGGCTAATGACACACCGCGCAAACCCATACAGGTCCCCAGCATCCTATTGCCCTCCGCGACGGCCATGGGCGCCACTTTTGACGTTGATCTGATGCGCCGCATCGGAAATCTACTAGGCGAAGAAGCCCGCTGCAAGAACATCCATGTCTTGCTGGCCCCTACCGTGTGCCTCCAGCGGTCACCCCTCATGGGCCGCGGCTTCGAGGCTTTTGCCGAAGACCCCATCCTGAGTGGCCTGATCGCGTCGGCCTATATCAACGGCATTCAGGAGCTTGGGATTGCCGCTTGCATCAAGCACTACGCTGCTCACGACCAGTCCACCATGTCCATCGAAGACAATGTCCGAATGTCGGACCGGACATTACGCGAGCTGCATCTACTACCCTTCCAGCTGGCCTACCGGCATTCTAATCCCTGGTCGTTCATGACGAGCTACAACATGATCAATGGCGTTCACTCCAGTGAAGACCCTTTACTCTTACAGCAGATCCTCCGACGGGAATGGGGCTTTGACGGCCTCGTCATGAGTGATTGGTGGGGCACCTACAGCACCGCAGAGTCGATCAACGCCGGCATGGATCTCGAGATGCCCGGTCCTACCCAGTTCAGGGGCGAGCTGCTGGCTATCGCCGTGAATACTCGCAAAGTCTCCCACGCGACGGTAGACGCGGCCGCCCGGAACGTCCTCAAGTTCGTGAAAAAGGTCACGGCAGCGGCGCGGCCGTGGTCCGGTGATCCTTCAGCCGCCAACACACCCAAGAACCGCAAACTTATACGCAAGCTCGTCGCTGATAGCATCGTGCTGCTGAAGAACGATCGGGGGGCACTTCCCATCCAGGATAGGAAGAGCAAGTCCTATGGCCTCATCGGTGACCACTTCAAGTACCCAGCGCTCTCGGGAGGTGGCAGTGCCGAAGGTGACCCTTATTATTCAGTAACACCGTACGATGCCATGGTGGAAGTCGCCGGTGAGGAGAGTGTTGCCTACACCCCTGGAATTTACAGTGAGTTTCTGTCTCTTCTCTCTCTCTCTCTCTTTGTCTGTCTGCCCAGGTAATCTCTCGCTGAAAGATCTTGAACCCTGCTGACCAGCCCAACTCATGTCCAGGCTTCAAATTCGTCCCTTTCCTAAAGAAGCTCGACCAGCCAGGAACAAACAACCATGGCTGGTTTGTAGAGATCTTCAGTCAGAACCCGGACGGCGATCCTGATGCCCAGCCGGTCTACTCGACAGCCACCGACAAGGACTTGATCGACGTGCCCGAAAGCCTCCACAAGTTCCTCCCGCACAAGTACTTTGTCCGAGCGAAGGCCGTCTTTTCCCCGGAGAACTCGGTACGCTTCTGCTTCGGGTTCAGCGTCGCCGGCAAGGGCAAGGTCAGAATTGACGGCAAAGACGTAATTGACCTTTGGGCTAGCCAACCTCCCAAGACGGACGATACGCCGTGCTTCAATCGGCTTTCGATGGAAAGGTTTTACGACATGAATGTGCAAAAGGGGCTGGCTATAAACGTGGAAGTCTTGATGGTTAACGAGGACGTTAGTGGTGGTGTAGGAACGGCCTTTACGCTCGCTGGCCGTCTTGGCGGATACGAGGTCCTTGAACCAGGCCAGGGCCTTGCTGACGCTGTGAGAATCGCCCAGAGTGTCGACGTCCCCATCGTCATGGTGGGACTCTCGGCGGACTATGAGAGCGAGGCGAGTGACCGCAAGCACCTTCGGCTTCCTCCTGGGGCGGACGAACTTGTCGAGGTGGTGCTCGACGCGAATCCCAATGCCGTGAGTCTCAACAAGATCCCCCTGACCGCCAACAGTCCCCCCTCCCTCTCCCCCCCTCCCTCTCCCCCCACCTCCCTCTCCCCCCAACCGCTCTGGCCTTTTCTCTTTTTGGATGGACATGTGCTCACTCCTATCGCCATCTGCCAGATTGTCGTGACCCAAGCAGGGTGCCCGATCGAGCTGCCTTGGGAGCGCAAGACGGACACCCTCCTTCATGCTTGGTACGGCGGCCAGGAGACTGGCCACGGCCTTGTTGACGTCTTGTTTGGCGATGTCAATCCCGGTGGCAGGCTATCCGTCACATTTCCCAAGTCCATCACACACACGCCCGCGTACCTGACATTTGGGAAATCCGACCGAGAGATCCTCTACGGTGAGGGAGTGTTCATCGGCCACCGGTACTACGAAGCGGTTGACCGGGACCCCCTTTTCTACTTCGGGCACGGCCTCTCGTACTCCAAGTTTAACTACTCGGATTTGACGGTCCCATCCCGGTTCGAATCGTCAGCACAACATGAGATGACTGTCGCCGTCGACGTGAAGAACGCGGGTCCTTGTGACGGCGTCGAAGTCGTCCAACTCTACATTCACGACCCGGAGAGTTCGGTCCTGCGGCCGGCAAGGGAGCTCAAGGCCTTTGCTAAGGTGTCCCTGGCCGTGGGCGAGACGAAGAGAGTCGTCTTGAGGTTGGACAAGTACGCTCTTTCATTCTGGTCGGAAGAGGACGGGCAGTGGAAAGCCGAGGCGGGCGAGTACCAAGTCATCATTGGTACTAGCTCCAACCCCAAGGATGAGGTCTTGCGTGCGGGCTTCGAGCTGCCCACGACTTTCTTCTGGTCCGGGTCTGACGTCCGATAGTAGCTAGTAGTGGTAGTAGGGCTGAGGGCACGAAGCACTTGATAGAGAGGGCGCCATCTGATGTACATGATATACACAAACGCTCCGATGCCGCTTGATCTTCAGGTTAGATAGATATAGAACCAAGCCCCAACACCGCCCTGCACTTTTAGGGAAACTTAAGCAATCTGAGTCTTCATCTCATTTCAACATGTCCTCACCTTCCTTGCTTGATGTTATTAGGCAGGTACCTGTAACTTCTAGACGTAGGCACTGCCATGCACCAACGTACCCGAACCCAGATCTCTATGATGCTTGGGTACTTGGGTACTGTACCTACAGTAGGTGGCCAAAAGTCTGCGGCCGCCCCACCCACCTCGCAATGCCTGCATTAAGACCACCTTATTTCCATTGCAAATTACGCAGCTAAAATATGATCAATTAATATAATAAAAAAAAACTATTAGATGGCTCCTGTCATGGTGTTTAATAATTTGTATACCAACCCCGGCGCGAATGATAGCCCGAAGCCGACGCTGCGTTGACCTCAGCAGCCTCTGAATAGTGTCCTTGGGGGGTTTGGTGCCACCCACTCACTGTATTTAGGTATCCGGAGCTTTGTCATCACGGGTGGGCTTCTGATTCTCCAGGCATTCGTCCCCACCTCGACGTTTTCCCACGCACATTCACCTTGACCTCTCTTCGTCCATCTTTCATGTCAGCCCCCTTTCTCCCTCGTCGTCTCATTACTCGACCTCCCTCTCCCGGCTTTATATCTCTCCATGTCACCTCGGCTCACACTGGCCTGGGCTGACAGACCAGGGCTTTAGGGGGCCTCACTCTTCGATCAACAACCTCAAACCTCGTGTCCTCAACGCCAAGCCCAGACTCTCCGCTGGCATGGACCTGCCGGCTCCCCTCGACACCTCTCCATTTCCCCCACGTCGACGGGTATGGCAGGCTTGTACCAATTGCCGTGCCCGCAAGACGCGCTGCGATGCCGCCAAACCGAAATGTGGTCTCTGCATGTCCCAGAATGTCGAGTGCGTGTACACGGACTCGCAGCAGCCACGCATCGACCACAACACCTTGATACTCCTTGAGCGCATCCAGATTCTCGAAGACCGCCTGTTATCGTCCCCGAATTTCTCGGAGCCCCAAGCGACTGCCCATGCCAACACCACCACAGCATCGGCGACGACATCGTGGTTCCCTCCGTCCGGGCCAGCCCCTTGGCCCGGCGCTGGTCGCCCCGCTGCGCTGCCGACGACCGAGATACCGATTTCCTTGTCCCACAGGGCCAATGCGAATCATGTTCTCAACTGGCCCGTAGTTCAGGAGCTCCTCTCTTCAGTCCAGGTGTCTGCTGAGCATCGCCAAGCCCACGAGGCCACGGGCGTCTTCTTCAGTCACGCATCTGCTCCAAGCCAAACGTGGGACGGCTATCCGCCCGACTCATGGCGGCTCTTCCGGGACGGCGAGATCCTCCAATCTCGAATTGAGGCCGCTGAAGGGTATTTGGACTTCATCTGCGCCTATTTCGACGAGGTCAACATCTTTTTTCCTCTAATCTCTCACGCCAAAACCGCCAAAACTCTAGAATGCATCGTCGCCGCCGAGCAACACAACGATGCCAGCCCATCTGCCACCCCGTCGTCGGCCCAGTACTGCCTCCTGCTGCTCGTTCTATGCATGGGCTCCTTTGTCCGCCAGAGGCAAAATCGCATTACTTTACTGAACCGTGAGGGCCAGGCCAGCCGTGGCTCCCGCTCGGATGCGTCGCCTTTGTACGCTCTTGATCAACACTTGTGGCGGAAGGCCCAGCTGCTCCTGGGTTGCGTTTCTTCCGTCGTTACCATTGAGGCCGCCCAATGCACCATGCTAGCAAGGTACGATGTCCGTAATAATAGCCAGCTCGTGGCCAGCCTCTTCACTTCCCTTCCTCCGCTCCGACTTCTGTTGGCTGACTTGTTGAGTGGGTCTGTAGTATTTACATGGGTGCTCGGGGTCGAGTGCCTGATTCCTTTCACTGGTCGCATGTGACATCTGTTAAATGTGCGATCCTAGCCAAGAGGTCTCGTCTCGCCAATCCGTTCTGGAATGTCCCTTCTCTTCCTCGTGATATCGATCCTAACATATGTGCCATTAAGCAGGATCTCCCCTGACCCTCAAAATCCCAGCACGTTGCCAGAAGCATTTCGACGACTCTACTGGGTTGCCTTCATATACGAGGGGGATTTCATGTCTGAAATCTCCATAACCCTCCCTTCAGGTATTGCTCGTTGCGAAGACCAGGTTCCCTATCCGGCGCAAGTGATGCGCGTGAGACAGGACTCTCACCACGGGATCCCCAGTCCTGAAGTCCAAGTTGCTGGCACCAGTCCGGCGACATCCCGCGAAGATGGCAATGAAGAGCTCGTTGCCTTCCAAATCAGCACCAACGCCGCTATCCGCCGCCTCCTCAATCGGGTCCATAGCATGGTCTACGACAGCAAGGACCAATTCCGCATGACCCGCGTCGAGTACGTCAAGTGGCTTTTGCGGGTTTCGGAAGACTTCTGGTCGTATCACGATACCATCTATCGCAACATCCCTCACTTTCTCCTCGTCAGTCACCCGGACGAGAACCATAACCACTTCGCCTCATCACCTCAAACACCAGGTTTCTCAAGGCTCCATGGCCTACGCAATAACCCTTGGAACGTGTTGCGATTAGAAGGACGTTATCATGCCGCCAAACACATCATCCACAGGCCCTTTTTTGACTACGTCCTCCTCAACATGGAGCATATCCAGACGCACCCCGACAGAGAAGTCATTCTTCAGAAATGTGGCCTGTGCCTCCAGGGTTGCAGGGGCTTCTTCTCCGTTTTCGACGTCGAGGAAGTGAACAGTATGACATGCCTCTTCGCTACCGGCATGGCGTAAGTGGATTCATAGTCTCTTTAACTGCCACTTTGTGGAATCGACGGTGAAGGGGGAAAATTGTTGTGACTAACTTGCCCCAAAGGACCTTTACCTATCTAGTCATTCTCCGAGTTGCCACGTTATATCCGATTTTCAGACATGTTCTTCCAGATGATGTCGAACACGTCATCTGGACCGGCAAGCGGAATTTACAGAGGTTCAGTATTAGCATCGGCGAGTTCGCTTGGCATCTTGAACTTCTCGAAAGGCTCGACTCGTCATGTAAACATCGAATACCGGTACCTATGTAACGGAAGAAATTCTTTCCAAGAATATACTAATAAACTTGGAGAGGGAACGTAACTTTGAGTATATGTCTTGTCAGGTTGATTTATCACTGATGGATTGCAGAAATGGATTCGTGAGAGACGATATGACGGATATGGGGACGGCGGGACTCGGCCGAGAAGGATGGCGCCTGAACTGGTCGTCCATTTTCCTTTGTTGTCGATCCCGGCGGGGGTCTGGCATGGTCTGGGATTCCATGCTCATGCTCTTCAGGCGGGCTCGTTTGGTTTCCCAAGCACAACCTCACCGCTTGATAAACTCGAGGACCGGTGCAACGTTACCACGGGGCTTTCGTCCCGCGCATAACTTACCGGCGAACAGGGCTCTTGACAACCGATCGTCCCATCTGTTGGTGACGGAGATTGACTGCCCACAACCCCCGCATCGCTGTCGGGGACAGAACGCGAGAGGACCTGGAGCGACAATTGCTACCAACCGAGCTTGAAGATGGGGCATTGCAACAGTAGGGCGAGAAGGACAGGTTTGACCACTTCCACGCCATTGTGAAACTTGCACAGGAAACGCACTTTGACGTTGATTTATCTCCACGGGCTCACGTGCTGGATCTCGGCGCAGGCACGTGTATATGGGCGAATCAGGTTTCCCAGTGAGTTCACATCAAGCGCACAGCAACCGTTGACGCTCATCTCGGCCGCAGTCTGCTCTGGAAAGGGCCAGAGAACCATGCTTCTGTGGTTGGTTTGGACATGTCGCTCATCCAGCCGCCCGAGTGAGTTCAACGTTCGTCGCCACTCAAGACCAGCTGGCAGGTCAGCCCCTCTCTTTTTTCGCCAACACTCGTTGATAGAAACGGAAACGTCAAGTGCAAACAAGTGCAAATGTTGGCTTTAGATTGGGATTGGGTGATGTTGGTCGCATGTGCATCTGTGGGAGATGGGGTCTTTTCAGCGGTATCCCGGCAGCGTCCTTGAGGTGGTGTAGGCAGTGAGGGGTCATGAAATACAATATAAGACTGAAAATGTCATGCAATAGACGACTAAAAGACATGTCAGTCAATTTGTGGCTTCAGGAGGTCGCTACTTGTCGCTGCATTAAGGGGACTGTTCCAATGGGTTCTTGGTCAACTTTCTGATAATTTTTTTGGGAGATGACAGTTGCGATGCGGTCGGGGCGAGTCTGACGGGACGCCCGTGTTCGTCTGGTTTTGAGGGGCTTGCAAGGATTCGATGGGCTATTGCTGACGGGAGCGGGGGTAGACATAGACACTCGCGAGTAGTGGGTGTCGGATAAGAACTAGAGATACCCTGGACGAACGTTAGAAGTAACGGGATGGTAGATGCCGCGGTAGGGAAGAGCAGAATAGGAAGTAGGCGAGGTGACGATGGCTTGGTCTCTACGGATATAGAATACAGGGGTAGTTCCCGCAGGCTGCAGTATCTGGGTTGTATGGTTCGGCAGATTAGAGCCCAGATAACAGTTCAAAAAAGCTGTAGGTTTTAAGCAGATAAGAAATTTAGACTTTAAGTTATAAATAAGGTTAATTTAATAGCAGAAATATTATTAAAAGTAATATATATTAAATATTAGAAGTAAGATATAAATATAAAAGATAGAGTAGTATTTTTTTTTTATAAATCAGATAAAAAAAAGAAATACTAATATAGAATCAGCTGATATTAATATAGTAATAGTTTCAGCTTAAGTATATTATCAACTTAAAAGATGGGAGTTATAGTACTATAAAGGGAATATTAGCAGTTGAATGAGAGTCTGAGTTGGACGGACAAGAGGGCAATAATATAAGCGTTTGGGAGAGAGAGCAGGGACATGAGACGACAGGAGGTGGCGTGGATGTGGTAGCAGCTGCCGAAAAGTAGCCCAGCGCACAGGGCAAGAGGCTGGGACGTTCAAGATACGATTTACTGGCGAATGCAGCATCAAGGGTCCAACACATTCTGCCTAAGGAGTCTGAGGTTGAAGGTACCGGATAGAGGCAGCATGCGGAAGCAATTGCAAGGTCATTGCCCAGAAGACATTTGCGAGGCGGCTTGCGGTCTAACAGAGCACGGGAGTCTCATGATACGGCCAACAGCGGAGGTTCCGCGCGAGATCAACCATTGGGTGAGCTTGAAAACGGAGAGCTTCGAGGAACGGGGGGAGTTACTGGAACGGGGGGAGTTACTGGACCGGGGACGTTGGCATGGCAGCCCCCGTTGCCCAGGGAGCATGGCGCACCGGAGGCGGCGAATTCTGAACCCCCGCGCTTTCATCGACTCTTCTTGCCTCAGGGGAGGGGCCCTGAAGATGATGAGCAGGGCGATACGGCGGCGGTGAGCGATCCTCCGCTTTTTCGCTGGAATGAGGCACCCAAGGTTCGGATTACCTAGCCTAAGTAATCAGTATCTGAAGACATTGGACGAAGCGAGCTAGCAGCAGCAATTGCGCGGGGTTTTAAGCTCCATGCTACTGTAGGTACCTACCGACTTGTGATTCTCATCTCATCCGCTCGCCAAGCAGCCTTTTGAAACCGCTGTCATGCGCGGAGCCAAATCTGACCATATCGCGATGGCTGGCGTGAGGCGTGAATGCTGATGGCATTGTACCCTTCAAGAGTGGCCGAGTCCTTGGAGACAACTTTTCTGATCACAGGCAAAGGTAGTTCTTCAAAGAAGCACGTAATCTCGGGATCCCAGCCGGCCTTGTGCTGTTCCCGTACCATGGACCAGAAGCGGCTAGAGCTGAACCGAGCTGAGAGTAGTGGTTTAGAATGACAGGTACAAGGTTGGAAAGGCTCGTTGCATAATAGCGTAAAGACGGTTGCAATTGCATATGCTCCTAACTACCCGCACCTAAGATTGTGCCTTCTATCTCTTTCTTGTCTCCATACGATCCCGTCGTTGCTAGAAGCCGCGTTCAAAGCTCGACCACGAGCTTCTCTCCGCTAATACCCTTCTTCACCTGGTCCATGGCGTTCTGAATACCGCCCAGCCCTCCTTCGATGACCCTGTGCTGAAGTGGCACAATGGCACCAGTCTCAAGCCACTTCGGCAGGGCCTCGTGACAAAGCTAGACGGACAAATCCTCCCTGCGGGTCCATATCCCTTCTGCCTGTACTTGCTGGTTCTGAATGCCCTCCGGCTGAGGAACACCCGCGGGCCAGTCCAACGTGTGCACCACCTTCTTCGTGGCTGCAGTGGATGCGGATAGTACCTCTACGGTCGGCTTGATCGTGTCCGGCTCGCAGATGGCATCGACAGCGTACTCGATCTCTTTCCCGGCCTTCTTGGCAGCAGCAACGAGGTCGGCGACAGCAGTGGGCGAGTGGTAGTCGACCACGACACTGGCGCCGAGCGAGCGCAGGTGGGCGTGGTGGCGCTCGCTTGCCGCGGCGAAGACGGTCAGGCCGGACAGACGGGCGAGCTGGACGACTATGGAACCGACGGCGGAAGAGGCGCCCCAGACCAGGATGGAGGAGGCCGAGGAGTTTGGGGCCTTGTCGGGAGAAGGTTGGGGCAGGCCGAGCACGTCGTAGAGGGCCACGACCGCGGTGGCCGCGGCGATGGGCACCGTGGCGGCCGGTACGAAACATAATGGCCGTCGAGGAGGCTTTCACGACCATGTATATCTGGAAGGCGCCGTTTTCGTTCTTGCCCGAGACGAAGCCGTGGGCGAGCCCAAGGACGCGGTCGCCAGGCTTGACGGCCGTCACCGATTCCCCTACCTCGGCGACGATGCCGGCGATATCTGTACAATCCTCATCGTCAGCACTCAGCCATTAGCAGCTTCTGTCGTCATCTGCTCACCCGAGCCGAGGATTGCTGGATAAGAAGGTATCATAAAACCCCAAGCTTGTCGCTTCCAGTCGACAGGGTTTATGGCGATGGCATGGTTGCGGATCAAGACTTCGCCGGGCCCAGGAGAGGGAGTCGGGCATGCCTCAAGGACGAGGTCGGTCGCAACGGCGGGGAAGAATGCCGCGGTTTGAGTAGACTGTTTCGTCGTGATGGAGAGGAATGGTTGTATTGTGAGGAACTTTGTCGGTGTCAGGAAGAGTCGGTGATGTTGATCTGTTTCTTCCCTAAAAGCAACATGCTGTGCACGCCTTTTATATACAGTCCAACTCCACTGCAGTACCTTACCTTCAAGTGCATGAAGAGATGTAGTCCAAGCCAGAGCCTTACAAATCTGAAGATGCCATCAAGACAACACGCCCCGCCGAAGACGTCTGGGAGGGACAGTAAGGTCCTTCTAACTCCGGTCCGGCAATCCGGCCAAGTGGCCGGTGCTAAGCCTCGCATGGTGGAGGAACCTACATGAGGCTGGTAAGTGGGTGGTACTTTCGAAGGGGCATGTCCCTGCAATCGTCCCCGGCTTATTAATTATTCCTGTGGGATGAAACCCAAAGAAGACGGCGCAGAGAATTGGCGCCTGTTCTCATGCTGCCCATGCCACGAGGACCGGCGGGTTAGGAATAGCTTCTTCCCAGCTATGATGTACTCGACGGATTTAACGGATTTAGAACCCTTACTAAACTTCTTTTGAACTAATTAGATTAAACATCTGCCCTGACTATTGCGAGCATACCGCCCAGCCCATCCAACCCCGCGTGCCATTCGTCCAGCGCGTCGTCGACACCACGCCCAAGCTCCCCTCCCACCGTCTCATCACCACCTCCGACGGACCGATGAACTGGCCGAACTAGGGGAGAGAGCGGGTTGGGGGATTATAGAATAAAGGACATGATTGTAGATGCCTGGGTACCAGCTGACGAGACTTGCCAATCTTCACCAACGACATGCCTCGATGGGCGGCGAAGTATTCACGACCCGAGTCGATCAGCTGCGTGATGGTGTAAATCACCATGGCTTGGATTGTTGCCGGCGTCGCAGTAGCGAGGTGTTAGTACGGTAGCCAGCATGTGTCGCCACCACGTAACGTTATGAAGACGGTGTAGAAATGACGCACCTCATTCATTCATAATCTGGGTTAGTCGGTCGCTCCCACAAAAACCCCTCCGTGCTGGCGTCGCGCGCGGCAAAGACGTAAGCAAGGCTATGATAAACTGCTAAAATTTCTAGTTTAATTAGTTACCTTTTATAATATCTTAATAAACTGCAGTAATAGCTATATCTTCAAAAAGCTAAATTTACTAAAAAAGCTAGATTTTAAAAAAAGCAAAATTATAATAAATATAAAAGCTCTATAATATATATAATAAGCATATAGTATATTTAAGTATACAGTGTATTTTCCTTAGAAACTCTTATCTTTTTATTTAAATATAAATTTCTCAACTACCTAATATATCACAGTTAATTACTAAAGTAAAGACTCTTCTTACCCTTTAAGCCCTTTAAAATAACCCAAAATTAAGTATCTAATATACTGCTAGTATATATAAGGTTAAGGAGCAGAGGCTTTGTTGCCGATAGAATAGTATTTAATCTCAATGCAATTAGATTCCGAAATTATATTGCCTATTTAATCTAGAGGAATAAATTATTATTTAACTTATTTTTAATTTATATTTATAAGGATTTCTCTTATAATTATATAGTATTAAAAAAATAGCTAATTAATTACTTACTAACTATAATATATTATCTATTAATAAATATTAAGCTTTTAATTTTATTAGATAATAACTAGAGCTTAAGATATATTTTTTATATAAATCTAATTAAAGAGCTAAATATAAAAATCTAATTATTATTTATAATTAGTTCTAGCTTATAAAGAATATAATTATAAAATATAATATTAATTTAGCTGATATTTATAATTTTAATAAGATTAATTTTATAATAAATATAATTATAAGTAAAATAGTTATTATAAATATAAATAGATATAAAATTGTAAAATTAATTTAGCTTAAAAATTAAAAATAAATTATAATTATTTAGATAATTAATATAAAAAGCTAGATAATCTAGCTATTTATTATAATTATAAATTAATATTATCTTATTAGCTAGTATTAAAAAAGTAATCTTATAAATTATTAAGTTATTATAATAATTTAAAATAGCTAGATTAATAATAAAATAAATTTTAAGTAGCTTAAATATTTTAACTAATATATAAAAGCCTAATTAATTAATTACTATTATTTTCTAATTTTTAATAGATATAAAAATTACTATTTAATTAATTTTAAGAAATATTATAAAAAAAATTATATTATTATATTTTATATACTATCTTATTTATCTTATTTACTTTAGTCTTTTAATATTAAATACTTTAAGCTATTTAAAAAAGCTTATAATTAAGAAATTAAATAGTTAATTAGATATTTTATAATTTATATTTTAAAAACTGAGTTCTTTCTAGCTTTTTATATTACCTATTAAGCTGCTATAATAAAAAGTAATATTAAAAAGAGTTTTTAAGAGGCTGGATTTATTTTTTTAAACTTAGGAAATATTATATTAAAGCTTAATATATAGCTATAGATTCTAATACCAGTTAAAAAGAAGGTTAGTTTTTCTAATTTTAAGTTTTAAAAATTCTAAAAATTATACTTAAGACTAGCTTGTAATTTAAATATCTTAAAAGATAAATTAGAAGATATTAAAGTAGCTTTTTAGTTTTTATTTTTAAAATGCTTAAGTTATTTTCTAAGAAAATAAAAGTAATTATATATTAGATAGTATTATTAAAATTTAAGAATTAGATTTTTTAATAGATAAATAAAACTCTTAGTAAGTAGTATAAAGTAAAAAAAACCTGCTTATAAAATAAAAAGAAGATAACTATAAAAAAGAAAAGAGATATAATTAATTAAAAGAATATTAATATATAGTTAGTAGCTAAATTATTAAAAAGTAATAGTTAATAAAAGTTAGTATAACTAAAAAAAAGATATTATAAAACTTATAAAAAAACTAGTTATAATATAAAAATTTATTAAATTGTAATTAAGATATCTAAAAAAAAATATAGTAATTAATTTTAATTAATTAAATACTTTATTATATTTTTATTTAAGTTTTTATATTAAAAATTAAAAGAAGTATACTATATACTTAAATATACTATATACTTATTATATATATTAAGCTTTTTAATATTCCAGCTATTTTTCTATATTTATATATATTTTAACTAATTATAATATTAATTAAATAAAACATCTACTTTTTATTAAATAATTTAAACTAATAAAATCTCTTCTAATTATTATTATATTAATAGCTTTTAATTTAATTTTTATAATATAATTAAAACTAACTTAACTTTATTAAAGTCTAGTAAATATATAAATATATAACTATATAACTTCTAATAATTAAAATTCAAGCTTAAATATAAGCTTAAATATTCTAGGAAAAATCTTATAATATAGTATTAAAATACAGTACTAATAAAACTATTTATACTATATAACTAATCTATCTAAATTAACTTATTAATCTATTCAAGCTTAGAAATTAAGTATTTTAATTTATAAGTATTAGCTTTTAATTCCTCTGTAATTTAAAATTAATATTACTTAGCAACTAAAGAACCTAAAAAGATGTATTTAATACTATTTCAAAGAGAAATTTCTGGGCTTTTTAATAGTATTACTTTTATCTTTATACCTATATACTTACCGGCTTAATCTATTTATAAAAGAAGAGCTTTTTTTAGGGTTTATTTCTTCTTTCTTTTATTTATATATATTATTAATATATACTATATTATACTACCTTATACACTATTATCCCTTATCTCTTATCTTATTTTCTATTTTTATATTCTTTATAAGAATATTCTGTTATTTATATTTATTTTAAACTATAAAATAAATAAATAAAATATTTAATATTTAATTAAAATATAATTAGAATATTAATATTAAGTAATATAAATTACAGTTTAGTAATATATTAAAAGGGAGTTTAAATATAACTAAGTATATTAATAACTAAAAAGCTTAAAGTTTAAAATAGAGTATAATTTAGCTATTTATATACTAATAATAATAAGATAGATTATAAAAATTATAAAATTATTATATTATAGCCTAGGTTGGAATTAGACAGTTATAACTAGCAGAATTATAATATACCTACTTTTTTTCTTTTAATTAAAACTAAGTTACTTAAATTATATAAGAGAATAAATTTATTAGTATTATATAAAAGGAAATACTATATATTATCTATTTAAAGCTATAAAGAGAAAAAAGTCTTATTTATAATCCTAAAGTAAGCTTTTATTTAAATAGCTATAAGAGTAATATATTCTAATAGTAGGTTTCTCTCTAACTAAATATAATATAGTTATATTCTTTAATTCTAAGCTTTAGTTTATAATAAATTACTATTATAAGCCTTATAATCTATTAAGAAAGATTACTTAAATTACTACTATAATTTCTATAATCCCTTATATTATATATATATATTTATTTAGTACTTTTATAGAAAAATAATCTTACTAACTATTAATATACTTAATTATATTAAATCTACTATTTTACTATTACTAAATTATAATTTATATTACTTATTATAATATTCTAATTTACTTAATTATATATCTTATACCTAAATCTATTTTATATTTCTAAATTAAACTTAACTATTATTTAGTTTTTTTTTTAACTTTACTTAATATTATTAAATAAATTAAAACTATATAATAATCTTAAATAATAGAAATAAATAATAAATACTATACCTAATACCAAAAGAAATAGTAGTTAAATAATAAGATTATTACCTACTAATCTCTACTTAAAACTTCTATTTAACTTCTTTAACTTTAATTCTATTATTTATAGTTAATAATCTTACTATCTATAATTAATAACTTTAAGATAGTAATCTTATTTTAAGTAATAGGATATAAAAGAGATTAATATCTTTTATTATTAAGAAATTAACTTTTCTTTTAATACTTATTTTATCTTAATAAATTTCATTTAAATAACTTATTATTATATTAACTATTAATTATAAGATTCTTATTATATATATCTTTATATATTAGAAATATAAATTTAGATTTTAGTATAATATAGAATTTTATTAGAATTTTTAAAATAAAAGGAAAAGATATAAGTTAGATAATTATTTAAAATTTCTTAAAAAAAGAATTTTTTTAAATTTCTTATTATATTATTTAAAATATCTAAATAAAAATTAAAGAATTATATTAGCTATTTTTAAATATAATTTATTTCTTAATAATAGAAATAAAATTAATTTATAGAAAAGTTAGGCTATTAATATTAATATTATATTTATTAAAATAGAAATAGCTATATTATATAACTTAGTTAATAATATTAGAAATACTAATAATAATAGAAGCTAAAAATTTCTTATAGAAACTTAATTATTATATATTGTAATTTTTAAATTATAATACTTTAAAATTATAAGTATAATTCTTAGTAGTATAATTTAGTAGTAATTAAAAAGAAAAAAATAAAGTAAGTAAGCCTGGATTTTATAGAGAAAAGTAGGTATTATTACTATTAGTTATAACTACCTAGCTATAATACAGAATATAATAAAAGCTATATAATATACTTAATAAGTAAGTTAAATAAATAAGTAAATTAAATACTTATATTATATAGCTAAAAAGCTAAACTT